CGGCCGGTGGGGGCGCCTCCCCCCCATCCCGGGGCTGACCCCTTGCGCGCTCTAGGGGTCTGGACCCGCGGGGATGGGGGGTGGGGGGGGGGCCTCGGGCTGGGGCTTCCTGGACCGCGGGTGCGCCGGGGTCGGAAGGTGCCAAGTATCCACCGTGGGGCCGGGTCCGCTTATGCCTCAGACTAGGCGGCGGGTCTCTGAGCCACCTACTGTGTGCTTCGGCCCTGTGTGTCCCCAGCGGCCGCTGACGCGGGAGGGAATGGCTGTGCGCTCCCTGCGACGGGGACCCGAACCCCCAACCGCGCCTTTCTGCTGAGTAACCCTTGCTGCGGATCTCTTCTGTCTCGCCCCGTCTCCAAAAAGACCCTGAGAGCGAGGAATGTCCCCTCCCTTACTATCACCTTCACCCCTGCGTCCGTCCCACACACACTAACCTGAAGCTTGAGAGGCACCATGAGCCACCCTTGTGGGTTCCTAGCAGGACCTAAAGTCGCTGCCGCCCTCCCAGAGCAGCAGGCGGAGAGGGCAAAAATAACGACTGTGAGCTGCTTTTCCTGGAGAAGAGACTTAGATCCAGGCCGCCTCGCCTTTCCCTCTCTGAGCCTCAGTATTTGTGCACTGAGGCATTTACACACCTACTGGACTAGACGTGGACTGGTGCTTTGTGTCAAGCATGGGGGGGGGTCCCCGAAGGAAGACCTAAGCCTCTCCCAGCCCTTCACTGCTTCCCCCCAGGGGCTTCTGGAAACCCTGAGCCATGGTGCTTCTTTGGCAGCAGCTTGGGTGGGCAGAGACACCCTGGGACTGACACTTCGGAGCAGCAGCTTGAGCCACTGATGCCCTACCCAGCTGCTGCATCCACCCATGACCTCCCCTGCCCCACTGGCACCCCATGTCCTTGGGGGTTGGACTGGAGGGGTTAGGGTGGTCCTGGGAAGCTATTAGGCCAGGGGCAGTAGGCAGGTCCTTGCCCAGCAGTACAATCAAGTTCTGCCTACCTCCCCTTTCTCCATGCCCCCCCTGTCCCGATGCCCCACCTGTTCCTACTCCCAGCCATAATGCTAACACTGAGCAATGCATAGATGGGACAACAGTCAGAGGACTTGTCTCAAGACCTCATCCCTCCTCAGAGAAGGAGACTCCCTGAGCCTACCTGTCCCATGCCCCCCCCCCCCCCCCACTCCAGGAGTCTGTTCACTCTTCTGGGTCTTGCACACACAGACCTCCAGGCAAAGACCATGTCTTTTAGATCGGAACTTGCAGCTCATGGCACTGAGCTGGGCAGGGTTGTTCTACATTTGGCATTTGATGAATGAACAATGAAGAAACTGGCTGAACCTTTAGACCTCAGCCCAAGAGCGGCTTCCCCAGGAAGACTTGGCTTCAGATAATAATCATGAGCACCACTTTTTATTGAGCACTCATATTTGCTAAAGGCTGGACTTGCACTGTCTCCTCTCAATCCCACTAAGAGGTGAGTGAGCCCATTAGAAGGGAGAAAGGTGAGGTGGGCTCTGGTGCCCACAGCCCAAACCAGCTCTTTTCCTTACTGTCCTCTGTCTTAGAGGCCTGCAGGCTGCTTGCTGAGTCTCTACCTCCCCAGCTGTACTGCTTCAAACAGGCAGAATGCTCACCATCTTAAACGCATGCCCTGCACATAGTAGGCCCCTGAAAATGTTTGTTTATGTGCATGAATGAATGAGTGAGTGGAGAGATGGAGAGCAGAGGGTGGGAAGGGCCTTCTCCCCACTGGGGACTCAGCCCTCTGAAAACAGTCTGATGAGAACAGCAGGGAGCAGGACCCAGGCCAGAGTCAGGGCAGTCTAGCCCATGCTCAGTGTGCATAGTCTTGGAGCCACAACTCTGGGCACCAGCCCTTCCCTGGAGTGGGGATGGAGGCCAGAGAGCATCTGACTCAGGTCTAACCCTGGTTCTGGAGTTCGCGGAAGGTTCTGAAGTCCCTGAGCTGAGCCTCAGTGATCTTAACCCACTCCCCAGAAGAGATGGGCGTCCTGGGACCTAAAAGTGTGGAGGTCAAGGTTTTAGTATCCACTTTAACCTCTATCAAGGGGCCTTTCTATAGGACAGAATTCCTTTACATTTGGAGAACTTCCCCCGAAATGAACCCTCATCAGTTTTAGAGATTCTTCTCATCTCCCCAAAAGTCTATGTCTTGTGGCGGGGGTGTGGGGGGAGGGGCGAGGGAGCAGATGGGGACACCCTCACATAGGGCGCCGGTACTGCCCCGGCACGCCCCGTGAGTGACAGATGCAAATATTCCGTCGGGGCCCCAGCAGGCCACTCTCTCCCTCCCTCGCTTGCTCCCTTCCCGGCCAGCTCTCTCCTTCCTTTATCTTATCAAAGCCCCGTAATTACAATTGCTATTTTGTTTCCTCGAATCTGCAATCAGAGCTCCCCGGCCCTGATGAGGGAGCGCCTGTCAACCTGATCGCTGAGTGACAGCCCGGCCACCTTTCCCGGCCGCCCCCACACTCCGCAAACACAAACACAAACACACACACACACACACACACACACACACACA